CATACCTACTTTGTGTAATGCAATCACAGCGATTCGGTTCTCTTTATCTCCTCACTCCATTTTAATATCGCAAAATATTGTACAATGTATTGGCGCCAGAATAAGAAAACTAAATGAGCAATCATATAAAAATGACAGATTCCAAATTCAAATGTAACATTTTGTTTATTTTTAATTGTAACAGTATTTATGGTCAGACTAAGTATATATAGTTGAAAATGGCTGATTTGAAAAATATCAGAGACAACTTGGACCACGACTAAGGCGAAATTAAAACTAATAAAATTATCTTTTGACAAAATAATGAAGAAGGTGAAAACGTTTTTTTCCGAGGGAAAGTATAAGTGGAATGGTGCATCGATAAAAATTATGTGCATTACACGATGTGCGTCAACATTTTGACGTCAACAACGTTTTGATCACAACTTAATCGTCCGTCAAAATTATAAATAACAGAATCTTTAACTCCTTTTTAAAGGTCTATTTACCAAAGAAGTACTGTAAGTATGTAGTTTTGAGCACTTGTTTACTTATCAATTAGTCATTTATAAAGAAAAGATCATTCTTCTGCGATATTCAATTATTATTTCAAAATTTAATGAAGGAATGTTACTTAAGTGCTTGGTGGGTGCGGTCAATGGCCTTATACGGGGCACCCGTGTGGGGCCAGTCCCTGGCCGTGGGGGTAGCGAAGTTGCTGCAACGGCCGCAACGCACCATCGCGGTCAGGGTCATCCGTGGTTATCGCACCATCTCTTTTGAGGCGGCGTGTGTACTGGCTGGGACGCCGCCTTGGGTCCTGGAGGCGGAGGCGCTCGCCGCTGACTATCAGTGGCGGGCTAACCTTCGTGCCCGGGGCGTGGCGCGTCCCAGCCCCAGTGTGGTCAGAGCGCGGAGGGCCCAATCTCGGCGGTCCGTGCTGGAGTCATGGTCCAGGCGGCTGGCCGATCCTTCGGCTGGTCGTAGGACCGTCGAGGCGATTCGCCCGATTCTTGTGGATTGGGTGAATCGTGACAGAGGACGCCTCACTTTCCGGCTCACGCAGGTGCTCACTGGGCATGGTTGCTTCGGTGAGTTCCTGCACCGGATCGGAGCCGAGCCGACGGCAGAGTGTTACCATTGTGGTTGCGACTTGGACACGGCGGAGCACACGCTCGTTGCCTGCCCCGCATGGGAGGGGTGGCGCCGTGTCCTTGTCGCAAAAATAGGAAACGACTTGTCGTTGCCGAGTGTTGTGGCATCGATGCTCGGCAACGACGAGTCGTGGAAGGCGATGCTCGACTTCTGCGAGTGCACCATCTCGCAGAAGGAGGCGGCGGGGCGCGTGAGAGACGCACAAGCCCGCCGCCGTCGAGCGGGGGCCAGGGAGGCGGATCTCGCCCTAGCCCTGGCCCTCTAAGTGTTTCGGGTCCCCCTCATATGTCGGTCTGGGGCCCGGCGAAGGGGGCCTAAGAAGACGACGTGCAAGCTGCTCTGCACGCGTTTTACGCAAGAGCATCCGGGTGATGGAAGGCCGGCTATCCTCGACCCACGCTGGTTCTGACCCAGCGGGGTATTTCGTAGGATAACCTATTCAAACCGGCGCCATCTAGGCGGGCTTCGGACAGCCTGCCGACCGAGAGGGCTGGTGGTCGTGGCGCCGACGATCGCTGGCCCGGCGTCCCGAGGAGGAGGGTGATGGGAGAGATGTGCTCCGCACTAAACGCTTCACTCTCCTCCCCTTGCCTTTTCATGAGTTCTGTCTCATGCGAGGGTTGGACGTTGAGCGACAGGAGGTTTTAGTCGGTTCGACTCCGACATGCCCCACCCTCCATCCCCAGTGGAGGGTGGGAGTCCGGCGATTTCCTCCTGACAAAAAAAAAAAAAAAAAGTGCTTGGTGGGTAGAGCCTGATAACAGACAAACGATCAAAGATTATACAGTTAAAATCTGTTTGCGTTTTTGGTATTCGGAAGACGAGCTGTTTTCTTTATGAATTTTAACCGGAAATCACGATAGTTTCACAGTAGCAATTAGCAGGATAATGGCAACACTTCATGTCCATAGGTAACCACTTAAAACAATCAGCTCTTCTGTCCATTTGTAATAATTACAGACTACTGCGATAAATACAAACATTATTCTGATAAATCAATACCTTCATACGAAATTTCTGATTTACCAATAGCAATGTTGACAATCGTATATTGATCTAGTGTCACCAAATCAAACACGCTCAAAGGTCTAATCAAATTCTCATGAATAAACTACATTGCAAATGCTGTATTTGTGTATCTACCCGTAAAACCTCGCAGTGTGTTTTATTTATTGTTTATCCACAAACAGAAATTTCCGAAAATCGTAAATAATGACAAAGAAATTGGATAAATAAGGTCACATCAATTTATGAACGTTGCGTAAGTAAATCCTTCATTTATGTTTGGCTAGCTTCGGAGGGTTTGGCATTGCTAGCTTGTGCCAACAATGGTTACGAATATTGATTACGAATAGACAGAATATGCCTAATTAAAACTACTTAGACGGTTGTGAAAATAACGACGAAGTCGTTCACCGAGCGAATGACTCGGTATACCGACGGTCCGAATGTTATGGTTCTGAACTTGTATATATGTAAGCTTATCTTAAAAATGTCGTAAGCGAGATTCAAGCGCCTGTCAAATATCTTGTGTTGTATGATGTCTACCCCCCACTAAGTTTCATCTTGCGAATATATCTTCTATATAGTAATACTAGCGGCCCGCTCTGGCTCCGCTTGGATCTTCAACAAAAATTTCAACGACGTTGAAAATAAAAGAACACTCATTGTGGCATAAGTATAATAGTTAGACATATGCTCTCGCGACATTTTTTGTAAATAATAATGTGTTCTACAAAGTCGTAGTACATTATTTTATTCTATCAATAGTTTTCGTAGGGCACGCGATGTAAAGAATATTTTAGGTAATTTTTCTACACCTCGGGTTACATTATTGGAGTTTTAGATCCCTAATATTTTTCAAAAAAGATTATAGCCTATGTCACTCGTAGTGTAGCTTCTAAACAGTGAAAGAATTTTTCAAATCGGTTCAGTAGTTTCGGAGCCTATTCAATACAAACAAACAAACAAATCTTTCCTCTTTATAATATTAGTATAGATATATCTTGTTTCAGTTTTCAATACTAGTTTTTCACTACCCTTCCAGTAAAAAAATTGTTCTAATTTTGTCTTCAACAAACGAAAATTTAAGGATAGCAGGCGCTTTCATATTTACAATATTACTTAATGTGTGTAAAATTTTAATATTTAATTTAAAAAATATACTCAGAATTATTTCACTGTAGTAAATTCGTTTAAAACGTGAAGTTGAAGTATGGTTGTGAAACATCAATTTATACTAGCTTATATATATATATATATATATATATATATATATATATATATACGTTCATACGTTATCTACAAAAAGAGTTTAAAAAATTTAACAGGTGTTATTATTTCAGGAAATATTTCTGGCACAATACCATAGGATTCTGAAGAATTACTTATATTATATTATAACTAAACTAATGTGCGCAGGGCTTTGACGTTATAATAATATCCTTTCCTTCTTTCTAAAATCCATTCTACAATACCTTTTCAGCTGGTTCTTGTCAGGACTGTGTTTTTCGAGTGGAACCCGTGATAAAATTTATTTTAACATTTAATAATGACGTTACAAAGTGTCGCATTAGAAAGAAATAATTTTGAATTAGTGTTCCAGAAATCAGGTATTTAATTCGTACTTCACGCGTTTTATTAAAGACTTCCACAAAGCAGGAACAAACTTTTGTAACGAAAAAGAAGCCCGTAAAACTCATATATTATAATTTGCGTAATTGTTCGCTATTGCGTATTGTAAGCCTGACAAAGGTAGAAAAAACCGTGCTGTTTATTATTTCTGTAGCGAAGTAGTAATGTATTTCAGATTTAAGGGCGGAACAGCCGTGACGCTATACAACTGAGAATTTGATCNCTTCCACAAAGCAGGAACAAACTTTTGTAACGAAAAAGAAGCCCGTAAAACTCATATATTATAATTTGCGTAATTGTTCGCTATTGCGTATTGTAAGCCTGACAAAGGTAGAAAAAACCGTGCTGTTTATTATTTCTGTAGCGAAGTAGTAATGTATTTCAGATTTAAGGGCGGAACAGCCGTGACGCTATACAACTGAGAATTTGATCTCATGCCTTTAAGTCTAGTTTCCAGTTACAACTTAAAACCATGTGAGCTCATTTACCTGTTTGTCTAATAAATGAAATAAATTAGTGTTGTCGATCTTGTACACTTTAAAAATATATTATGCAAATTATCAATTATATTTCACCTTATTCAATAATGAAAAGTAATAATTTTAAGTATAAGTAATACATTATAATTATATCACGTTCTTTAGAAATAATGTGAATGTCTTCGATACGCATCGTTTCAAACTACACGCGGGAAACAATTTATAGCTTTGTCACAAATTCGTAAATAGTATTACAATTAAACCCATTGTGTTTATATGCATATCGTTGTTTCGCAGCTTATACTAATAAGAGCATTTTTCAAAAGAGTTTTTTTTACTCCTTAAAATGCACGAATACAGATGAAACTAAAATAAAAAAGCTTTGTTATTTCTGTTCTAAGCTTGCAGATTTTGTGCACTATTTTCCCTAATATTCAAGTTAAAGAGTGAAGTAGTATTAGTAGTATTAGTATTTCCGACATTAATTAATACTATTTTTGAAGCTCTTTAAAAGCTACCAAACAAATAACAGAAAAAAAAAACAGAAAATAAAGTTTTTGAACTGCGTTTATCTAGTTATATATGTGTCGTGTAGGATGTTTAATTTAAGACCCTTATTTTTTAATGGAAATGAATTTAATAATTGCAATGACTAAAACCGTAGATGTCAAAATTCAAATTGGAGTACTTAAGGTACTTACAGGTACAGCACCTTAAATTTTTGGATGGTATTAATTGATTGCTACCACTTACTTGCTATGAAAATGGCACTGAGCACTAAGAATAACATGTTGATGATGACACCACACAGATAATACAACAAAGCTGATAATAATGCAATGAAATTATTTTTACTTATTAATTAAGCAAGTAAACTTTTGAAGTAGGTTAAATTGGTGTGAACGCGTCTGCTTCGATCGTGATCCCGCGTGAGACTGCGAGATTCAATGGAAAAGCGAAGGCTTGAAATCTGTTGGACAACGAGTATATGATTTTTCCGCACTTTCAATAATATGTATCTATACACATATAAATGAATTGCTGTTCGTTAGTCTCGCTAAAACTCGAGAACGGCTGAACCGATTTGGCTAATTTTGGTCTTGAATTAGTTGTGGAAGTCCAGAGAAGGTTTAAAAGGTAGATAAATATGAATATGCTCGGAATTAAATAAAAATAACAATTTTGTTTTTCGTTTGATGTGGACGGATTCCTTTTGTTTGTATTAAGCTTATTTTTTGACTTTATTGTCTCACTCGTTTAAAAAGCTATAGCTTTAAATAATCAGCATGGTTGACTTGACTGATGCCATCCTCTCAAACAACATAAATATTTTAAAAGCTCATTCATTACGTGTGACGAATTTCACTGTACAGCTTCGATCAACAATAGTAACTAATACTATAGTAACGTAGCAACGTACGAGTATAAAACATATTGATGACAATGTGAACAATACATTCCTTTAACCTATTTCGAATTCTGTATAGCAATCGATATATCGAATATAATTCAATAAAATCTTATTTGAGATTACGTGACAATGAAATCACAGCGGTCTTTTGCGAATGTCTTTGGTCGGTCTTTGAGATGTTTACAAAAAAAATTATGACTCTTCTCCTGGGATACGTACTGTAAATGAAGACATTTCTTTTCATATACTTGGCTTAAACAAAATTACGCGGCACGCGTCAAACCACAGAACAACTTGATATTACGAGGCTCTAAATAATGTAAATTAGAAGGATATGATTATGAAATGAAAATGAGGTTGGTAAGAGAGTGTTAACTATGAATGTGGAAGGATATAGAGGAAGAAGTAGACCTAAGAAGAAATGGATGGACTGTGTGAAAGACCATATTGGTAAGAGGGGAGTGAGCGAAGAAATGGTATATGATAGAAGAGTATGGAAGGAGAAAACATGTTGCGCCGACCCCAGGTGACTGGGAGAAGGGCAGGAAATGATGAGAAGGATATGACTGCTTCGCGACTTAAATAGGCACCATATAGGCACCATAGGGGCTCCGTGCAGTATCATGAGTTCCACCACACCCACATAGAGGAGGCGCACCTTCGTGTTGGGTCTCCGGACTTTTGGCAAGAACCGGATCAACGAGCCAGCTTTTCGAAGTGAGCGCGGAAGTTTCAACGATCGTCTAATTGAAAGCCGCGGCACTGGTACCAAGTCACCATGACTCCGACGCGGACGCCTCCGATCATCAGGTGGGCCTCGGGCGGTGACTTTCTCCCGGTTCAGTGAAATAACAGGGCCTGGGACTTCTCGTGTGCAACTTGGAGACTCAACCTGCGGATTTTACATACGACGAATGCCTACCCTACGCACGCAAGACTTTCTTTTCCCCTAGCTACGACCAATGAGTCGGCCGCGTCACACACAACGCGTAGGCCCGGTAAATGATTATGTACGCGGGGCGCCCTACCTTCCTGATTAAGACGAGTCTGCGCGTCTTTGACTGGGTCAAAAACCGTCCGTTCGAGCAGAGCCGGTCCCCTAAAGCACAGAAAGCCAGATCTGTTTGCTATAGATTACATATGCTGTTACTAAATAGTAAATAATAAATTACCACGAAAAGTAGGTACCTACTCCCTATATATTAACGTTTTATAAATTATATTCATAATGATATCATCATTGCAAAATTTTAATAATAGAACATTGCAAATAACTGTCAGCTTATTTATTCATTCTTGATGAAATTCAGCAACGTTTTAATGAAAGTAATATTTTGTGGGTATCGACTTTCGACTTCTTACGAATAAAGAGAGCCGAAGCATATTTTGTATGAATATTTTTCAAATACCATCACGAGTACAATTCATTGAAGCCTCCATTAAACCTAAGGGATTAGGTGTACGTGCGAGTATCGAGTGCGAGTATCGTTGATATCGCTCTATTTAATGCATTTAACAAATAGACTATTTCCCGATACGGAAAACAAATTTAACTGGATGCCCAAAACAAACCGTCTGCTCAATAATAAACATGATTTAGTACAAACTGTTATATCCTATCGTTGCACCTGCGTTTCTTTACTTTGGAATAAACAATTTGAATTTGCTTACTTAAAATACTAAGCGTCTATTGTCTAGTGGATCGCACGTTCGGTATGTTCGTGTCGGATAATGCAACTGTACCGGAATTCTAATTAATATATATATTTTTAGTTTAATATCACCTAGTATTGAACTTCAAAAATGACGTTACGCAAAAAAATGTACAGAATGTATTCTGTACAAGCAGTTATACTTTGGAATTCCCTCCCTCCAAGCATACGAGTGTGCAAAACCATAGCAGCGTTCTAGAAATCTGTTAAAGAACACTATTTATACTTACCGTATTAAATAAACGTATATATATTTGTATAATGTATTTTAATATAAAGTAAGTATGTGTATATATATATATATGTCGTGGATAACGACTTTTAGTAATATTAAGACGGTGGTTTTGATTATTATTTTAAATGATGAAATGTTGTTTTGATAAATATCACAAAACGAAGGGTAGACTCCGTAACGCCACAGTATAAAATGGCGGTACGTGGACAGAGTCGTGGCATTCCGTGTCAGACAGTAATTCCGTCCGTCTCAGTCNTGTGTATGTATATATATATATATTATTCTTTCCTTCCGCGGGCCTACTGGAAGAGATTTCAACATGAAATAAGTAGTGCCCTTGTACTCTGTATCCTTATTGCCGTGTTTCTTCTAATAGCTGTGTGTACCAAATATATTAAATAAATAAGATAAATAAAGCTTAGTTTACTGGTAATACGGTATATTGCGGGACCATACCGGTACGTATCACCCTCATGCATAAATTTTCCACTTAGCAGACATGCGTTCAATCGAGATTTCGACCTCGTAACTCAATGTTGATGACCGCGTTTACATTGTACATAGCATCGTCCAATAAACCAAACCCGCAAATTTGCGTAATTAGAGTATTATCCACCAAAATTAAAGCCTACGTTCTATGATGATAAATACTGAACGACTCTCCCACCCTATCCCTAATCTTACAATAACTTATTTACTTACTTATTCAGTATAGTTGTGGGCTTATATAAACAATATCTTTAAAATTTTCAACAGTTCATCTAATCAATGCATATTAAATATTCACATAAAAGAATTACTCGATAAATTTACAAGAAGCAGCTTTCTTAAAATGTATTTCCATTTCACAGTCAACAAATTAGAAATCTTAAAAGTAATGAATGAAGCGAACATCGAGCAATCTTATAAAGCGTAATTTTTCATGCAACGTAGCTGTTAGATTATTTCCAAAGTGAAGAATTACGTACACGTGATACTTACTATGTATGTTTGTATACAAACATATGTCAGCGTATTTAAGACAATATCATCAAAGTAGCCATTGGGAATTATTTGGCGCAGGTAATTACGGCAAAAACACAAATGCTGTTACAAGTTGTTACTTGATTTACGATCGAAACCGAAGTTTCTGTTACCGATGTGAAGTTTTAGGTCGGTAAAGATATTGTTTCATGGGTTCGTATTTATAATGATTTATGTGTAGGTTGGTAAATCCGTCCGGCGAAGTCGTCGCTTCGTGGCCTAAAAAGATAAGACGTCCGGTGCATTCGTGTGTAGCGATGTACCCATCTGCGGGATTCGAATCTCGCTGGTGAGTACCAATTTTTCTAATAAAATACGTACTTAACAAATGTTCTCGATTGATTTCCACGGTGAAGGAATGACATCGTGTAATAAAAATCAAAACCCGCAAAAATATAATTTGCGTTATTACTGGTGGTAGGAACTTTTGTGAGTCCACACGGGCAGGTACCACAACCCGCCTGTTTCTGCCGAGAAGCAGTAATGCGTTTCGGTTTTAAGGGTGGGGCAGGCGTTGTAACTACTAATTGAGACCTTAGAACTATATCTCAAGGTGGGTGGCGCATTTACGTTGTAGATGTCTATGGGCTTCGGTAACCATTTAACACCAGGGTGGCTGTGAGATCGACCATTCGTTGCAATAAATAAAGAATGCCATCACCGGAGTGGCTGCGACGAGGACACGGCGGGCCCACGTTGCATCCTCGTCGCGAACATAGGACCGGACCTGTCGCTGCCGACCGTCATGGCTATTACTATATAATATCATCAGCCTACATTCGTTCACTGCTAGACATAGGCATATCCCAATAAACACCTCTTAGCCCAGTCTGCGGCTTCGAACACGTTCTTTCGTCACACGTACTTTTCAGTGAATAAATGATATATGCACTACACACTAATATGTATTGGTGCCATAAACAAAAAATTTGCATTGTTTTACATTAGAGACAATCTGAATAATTAGACCTCATCAGGTTATTAAATTATTATTATTTTTGTAGGCAGACGAGCATACGGCCCACCTGATGGTGAGTGGCTACCGTCGCCCATGGACTTCAGCAATGCCAGGGGCAGAGCCAAGCCGCTGCCTACCAAACTACTGCCTACTATTTATTAAAATGCACTAAAATATAGGGCGTGAAAATTCTATTCACTGCGTATAAATGGAAAGAAACTAAAACATTACATTACATTACCAAGGTAAAATAATATTAATTTCAAAAGCAGCTACACTGGTAATTTTACTATGTTTACATTTCGTGAGGCGCAATGAAACGCGAACAACGCTGGCAGGCGCCTAACCGTCTCTGTAAATCAACTCTGTGCGTTAACTGATTTAAATTAACTACATATTATTATTCGCTCAGTGGTTGAAATTTGATCATTACTAAGTATCTCAAAATTTT